AAGTCCTCTTGTAGTGTGGCAGGGACCGTTGAGATGAGGCCTCAGAAGTACACGGGGGGATCTCTTCTTTGAAAGATAAGTGTTCCTGCATTCATCTGGGTTTGAGGCTAGGCAGTTAGTTCTCTTGTTGTTGAGCTCTGTGGGTAGGGCCTGAGTCAGGGACCGTTCTGCTGGAGCGTGTTGGGTGTCTGGCTGGTTGTCTGTGCTAGTGATCCGGCCTCTGATCTGATCAATGTGTCTCTCCCATAGTCTCCCTTCTTCAGTTTCTACCCTGTATGATTGGGGCCCTGTAATCCCTGTGACCTTGGCTGGTACCCATGTGGGTCCCCCTGTATAATTGTGAGCAAAGACCAGGTCCCCTATGGTGAATTGCCTGCACTTTCCCAAGGAGTCTACGGGTGTCTTTGGTGCTGTAGTTGGGGTGGACTCTGTCAAGTGTTGATCATAGCTTCAGCCCATTAATAGTTCTGTGGGGCTACGATGTGTTGTTGCATGGGGTGTGATGTGTTGGGCCAAGAGCATTTTATCGATCCTTTCTTGACAGTCCCCTTGGCCCATCCGCTTGAGTGTTTCTTAGGTCATTCAGACCATTCTCTCCACTTGTCCATTTGTCACCAGATGAGCAGGTGCAGACAGTGCATGCCTGAACCCCAGTCCAGCGAGGAATGCTTCAAATGGCTGCGAGGTGAACTGCGGCCTGTTGTCGGAGACAAGGATATCCAGCAGCCCATGGGTGGAGAATAGTTGTCAGAGGGCTCTTATGGTGGCCTCTGATGTGGTGGACTTAATTAGCATTACTTCAGCTTCAACCATAACAACACAAGAGCAAACAATAGATACAAACTCAAGGTTAATCGCACCAGACTTGATTGTAGGAAATACGACTTCAGCAACAGTGTCTGGAATACTCTACCTGACTCTGTGGTTTCTTCTCCAAGCCCCAAAAACTTTAACCTTAGACTGTCTACTATTGACCTCATCCCTTTCCTAAGAGGTCTGTAGGGGCGTGCATCAGCGCACCAATGTGCCTACCATTCCTGTCCTATTGTTTCTTTTATTTTTTTTTATTTTTCTTATATGTATCCATGTATTCATAACTATGTTTTTAGTACTGTTAGTACTGTTCAAGTATTAAATGGTGGGGTTTTTGTAAGGTTTTCAAGGGCATTGATGTTATTTTTCCTTGTTACGTTCCTCTCTCATTCTACAACCTCCATATCTGCCCATGTTCTAAAATGCAATCTAAAACCAACCAACCAACCCAAACCAACAACTGAATTTACTTGTAACATATGTCTTTAGGATCTCTTTAGGAGACTCCTGTGGACCGTAGTGTATATGAACGGATAATGAAAAATATTGGAATAACTAGATAAAACAAGCCAATTTTACCTTCCAACCATGAAATATTATTCTTCTTTGGAAGGGGGAGGATAAATGAATGCACAAGGGGGTTGTGCAAAGCCTTTGAAAAAGTTGTTTTGCAGTTCATGGGAACACACACTTCTCTTTTCGGGTCATAAAAACAGACATGACTTTTTTCAGGCACCTGTGGCTGTTTCATAATTTTCTGCTGGATGAATGAGAAAAAAGCCCAATGAAGTGTCTGTACATACCTGTGCTTACAGAAATAATTTGAAGGTGTTTTGTAAACCTTGCAAATATGTATCTGCTTTAATGATTTTTTTTAAGGTGGTGGTAAGGAGATTGTATGTGCTTTTTCAATTTCAAAGTACTTCTTTAAATCCCACTTCAACGCTCTTTCCTCGTCAAAGTAAATTATCAAAATTATTCTGAATAAATTTTTATCATAACAATTTTTGTTATGATATAACATTACTAGGTATTAAATGAAATTATAAGAAAGTAACAGTTATTAGAAGAGCAATGGTGCTGCAGTGATTTGAATGCAATATTGCAGGCTAACTCTGCCAACTGCCAGTAATTTGATTCTGATCAGCTCAAGGTTGATTCAGCATTCTATCTTGCCAAACTCAGTAAAATGAGGGTCCAGATTGTTGGGGGCAATAGGCTGACATTGTATACCACCCAGAGAGTGCTATAAAGGAGGGGTTGGCAATCTTTTGGACCTCAGGGACCACCAAATTCATTATTTTAAATCCCACGGACCACTAATATGAATTTTGACTGACGTGGCTTGCTGACATTGGTGGGAGGAAGAGGGAGAGAGAAAGAGAGAGAGATCTGATCTAAGGAGGGCTGGTTATGTTCTCTCTCTCTCTCTCTCTCTCTCTCTCTCTCACACACACACACACACACAGATCCACCACAAACACACACACACACACACACACACCCTCCAAGGCAGCCACATTCCTAGACTGCTTTTGAGCTCTGTTCTCAGGCTTCGTGCAAGGAAAGCAGCAGAAACAGCAGAAGTCTTTCTTTGATAGGGTATTAAAAAGCCAGATAACTATGAGGCATCAGGTGAAAAAGGATTTGATCAAGAAATGGGACTGTCAGCGCCTCTCAAATTTATGAATATGTGCATACCTGGAGAAAAGTGAAGAAAATGAAGCAAAATTGATCCAAGAAGTACTGGACTGGGCTACCTCGATCCTCCCAGATGTCCCCTCTACAAGATGTGATATTGATGTAATATATAGAGTTGGCCCAAAAGGTTGGGAAGAAAATTGTCAAGAGATATTGTGATATGACCCTGGTCCTATGCAAAAAAGCAACAATTGATGTGTGATGTTTAATAGATGCCAATTCTCTGCTGAGATGGAAATATCTGTCCATCCTTTTTCTGAAGCACATGAATCCAGCTTTTTTTTCTCATCTGCAATGTCCCCATTTTGCTATAACTGGTCTGTTTAATAACTGCAGTACTGATTTTTTTCTTCTTTCTCAAACTCTGCATGCAAGCTATCTATCCACTCCTACTCTACATCCCCAGTTCTTATTCTCCAACAATGCCTTTCCTGGGAGTATCATAAACAAAGGGGGAGAGGGGGCCTTGTTCTCATGTCTTTCAGCCCTGCACAGATGACTCTGCAACCTGTGAAAGCATGAATCCAGATGCTGCATCCAGAGGAGAACTTCCATTCATTGAGCCAGGAATTGGGTTTGGATCCAGCCCTCCACTTGAAAGTCATCATAGCAACCAGAGTGAAGCAGACCTTCCCAAGCCTGACTAACCGGCCTTACCAACAAGCCAAGCCTAATGCCACCCAGCAGACATGAAAGAGAGGACCCTGAGATGGATAAGTAGAGAGTAAAGATTCTTTTCAATCCCCAAAAGGCAGCTGTAAAGACTATGGGGGAGGGTGGAGATTCATTGTAAAGTTTTATTTCTTTGCATCATTCACAATTGTAACTGATCAGTTAAATGGGTTCTTAGAGGGATTGCATTTCAGAGTGGTTGGCACAGCAAGTTCTGAACACCTTGGATTTCTGTCTGGTGGGAGGGAAATTTGTTGAGTATGTTTGTATTGTTTGTCTTGTAGAAGCAACTACACACACACACACACATATGCACAGAAGGGGAGAGAGAAAGATTCCCCATTCAAAATCAGTCTGAGCCTATCCCTTTCACTTACCTCCACACAAAGCTTTTCCTAGACTGGTTTTTGCTCTGTGGCACTAAGGCCCAAGTATATTATATCTCCTGGTCAATTCCATGGGGGAGCGGGAATTGCCTGGAGGGCAATGCCCCACTGAAGAAGTAGCAGAAAAGAGGTCTCCAAATCCCAAGCCCTAATTGTGACTTACAAATGATGCTGCCCAGTAAAAGCAGGATATGTTGCACTGGGTCTCACTAGTAGGAATCCCAGGGCTCATTGTGCCCAATTTGAAAAATACTAAATAGCCTAGATTGCACACTGGCTGACATCTATTTGGCCTCATGAAAGTAAGAGCTAGGGCAGATTCAAGAAACAACCCTCAAAATGGGCAGCCAGTAGTTATGTAAAGCAAAACCATGGCTGTGAAGAATTCTGGGGCAAATCTGAAAATAATTGGCATAGAAAATTGGATACTGTAAATCTCTTTCCAAAACTTTCCCCCTGGTTGCTAGACCTTAATGGATTAAAAGCTCTCCTTTTGGGAGCCACTGAAGGAATCCTTCTCTGCTGTCCCTGTCATTATATCCCCTCCTGTGCCTCAGCTGCCTTGTCATGCAGTCCTGACCCTCCAAAACATGATGAAAAAGGAAACCAGCTTGCTATAATGATGGTTCAAATTGACCATGAGTATCAAATATATCCAGATGCTACCCTGGATTGTGCTGAGGGAAAAATAATTGGCAAAATTATTTGCCCTAGCACAAAATGGGGGATTGTGGGAAGCATACCCCAAAGGACAGTGCCAGAAACTCATGACACCAGAAACCTCAGAAAACAGTGCCAAGAAACTCAAGCCAGCCCTTCCCCCTTTAAGAAAACCAAGAAACACCAGCTGAAAGGAAAACTCAGAGCAGCCCTGCTAACAGAGCTGACAACAGAAACACTTAAGTAGAGCCATTAAGCTAAGGGGAATCAGGCTAAAAATAACTCACCAAGGCAAAACCAGAACTCCCCTTTTCCTGCCCCTGAAAGGATTAAACCCCAAGGACAGGAAAAACAAAAGACCTGGGACCAAGATTAACCCAGGAAAACAGGAAAACAAAACCCAGGACAATCAGAAACACATCAAAACCCATCAAGCTGCAGGAGCTTCAATGGGGAATTAAACATAAAAGGTTCAGATTCATACTTCCAAGTTGCTTGCGAGCCAGGAACACCCAAGCTGTGTCACTTTTTGCTTCTTGCCTTCCCACATTAAAAGAATCCCACTTTCTAGCAGCTGGCTTTTGCATCCATTTCTTCTCAGTGTCTATGGTGTGTCCCAGCTGGGAATGAACTCAGGAAATTTCTTCCAACAGGAGGAAGAGAACAGACTATTTTAATTTGAAAAGTTACAAGAGGCTCATACTGGCAAGTACACCACATTCACGTTGTCAGAACTAAACCTAGAAAAAAGACTCACCTCACATACTGTTTCTTTGCAACTCATACTGCTTATGTCAAAGTTTATTTTGAAAATGAAAATATTTATTTTAATGAAGTATATAACCTCCTGAAGCAGCTTTAGTTAATCCACACAGACATATTATTTATATTGTATAGAAATAAACCATTTCTAATGTGGGGTTTCAGTTTCTCATTCATATTCGGAAGCAATCCTATGCATGTGAGTAATTTTCATTTGGTTCAGCACACAACTAGTGGTATATTCTACATATGACTTCATTTCTTTTATTATTCAAATCTTGGAACAAATTTCAGTTCACTCTTTGCATTCTGGATTTCAGAGAGATTAACTGCTGGTCCTGGTAACTTCTTGGCTCCTGGGAGAGTCTTTTTCTTTTCTTCTTCAGGTGGAGTTGGAAGACTCTATATAAAAATAATAAACTTTATTCTTCAATTGTTGTAACAAGGATCCAGGAAATAGAGGACATCATGCAGTTAAGGTTAGAATATAAAAATATATTTAACAACATAATACTAGTAAATTGTCCATATTATCAAAATTGGATTTCTCTTCTTTACAGAACAGGTAACAATTTGATATAATCCTCATGGTTTGGACTACAATTCTCATAGTTGCTTTCACTGGCCATGTTGCTGATGCTGGTGGGAAGGTGGGGGAGTGGGACTGAAATTCAAAACACCTGTCACATACCTATTTCTGTTTAGCAGTAACCATGTAATTTTTGAGAGCTTCAACAAATAATTCATTATAGTATCTGCCACTCACACATGGACTTCCAAGGGGGATAACAAAGAGGGCAAAGGACAATGCATTCATAATGACACAATCAGTTAAATGCCATGACTTATCTCTGGCCCAAGTACATCAGTATGGCACTGATGTAATTATGTTGCACATGTCATCATTTTAGCATTACCAGTTTGCTGTGGAGCTTAGTGTGTTCAGAACTCACATTTGGTTATTCAGAATTTAGGGGTACCAAATTTTGAAAATGTGCACCTAATCATGTGCCATAGCTATACCTCTGGTGGGCAGAGTTCATTTGAATGAGGATTATCCCTCATTTCTACATGATGTGATGTTATTGACAAGTTCAATTCTTGTTCAAGGCTCTTTTCTACAACTGTATATTTAAGAAATAATTTTGAAAAGAAAAATCTTTAGCTCTTAGGTAACCCTACTGCCCATCTGCTATGAATTAAAATTGTATTTTTTCAGGATTACATGGGAATCTGAAAAAAAGATTGATGGTGCTTTAAAAAGTCAACTAATTAAAGATAATGGATCTGTTAAAACAGCAATGTACTTTTTCAGATTTAAGTATCTGAAAGCCAGAAGAAAGTCAATCAATTTTAATCAATAGTAGACGAATGTTGTACTTATGTGAGGTCTAAACTCTAGGGCACTTCTGAATTATTTTCAAAGTAACTAGCCAATTCTCTTCAACTCCTGAAATAGCTCCTCCACTGATTCCAACATTTCTCCATTGGGCAAGGAATTATAGGTGCCCATTCTGATGTTGTATATCTTTCTCAACCCTGAATATAAGCTTATCCAACAAATACAAAATATATTTTAGAATTAATCCGGGATTACCATAAATGTATTGCTCAAGTTGCCTGATTTATTTATGGTACACAATATATAACTTTGGTGTGCATACACATAGACATACACACATAGACATACACACATAGACATGAGTGTGCAAAAATATTTCATACAAATCCAATCCATGTGAAAAAAAATGACAAAAGAAACTGGGCCCCTCCCCTTTTCCTATTAATAAAATATATTGCATGCATTTGTCTTGTCTGATGCATTTAAAACTCTGCAGCCAGCTATGATTGTGAAAAGGTGTCATTTGGTCCATTTCTCAATAAGGCACCTTCTTCATATTAAAAGTAGTTGAAATTTGGGGTAATTAAAACAATCGATCATGCCTCTTTACTGAAAACAAAAGAAGAAGAGATAACTAGTTCCAATCCTCTCATGCCATTATTCAAAAGCAAACATAAAACAACAAATGATTTCATATGACAGCCTTCCCCTGGTCTACAGTACTGTGGAAACAATTGCAAAGATCTGTAAATGGTCAATAATAAATTCTGGCTGCATTTAAAACTGTATTACAACACAAATACAATGTGTATTTTCTGAGTTGAAATGACTGAAAGCAAAATATGACAAGGATACTATCCAATATTAAAAAGAGATAATGGTGTGAAGAGACAAATCTAAAACTGATTTTGTTCATGGAGTCCTTAAAATTGTAAAATACACTCTATGTCAGGACACTCAGTACAAAAGGCAGATTGACTAAATGCAGCATATCTTTATTTACAAAGAAAGCAAGATCATTTCCTTCTATCTATTTATATTTCAGCTAAACCATTCTCCTCTTGCAAATTATCATTGTTTTGCCCAATGGATCCGGGAATAATGGAGGCATGGAAAATTATTTATTGAAAGCTGATTCCATTTTGCAATCAGCAAAGAGAAGTGTGGGTTTTTGTTATGACTGTGCTATTATCTAGAAAGATTTATCTCCAGAAGTTTCATTTAAAATCACAATTTTCTTTCAACCTTTCATATGTTGGAAGTCCAAATCCAGAAGCATTGGCTCTTCTTCACATTATCATCTGCTGGACACAAGGGGGTAGTAGGATGTAAATAAAGAGTTGAGAATTTACTCACTATATCCCTTCGTTGCACTTCCTGTTCTTTATCTAAGGAGCTGCAAATATGAAGGCATTGTCTTTGCCTCGCCTTTCACTCATCCTTACTCACATTAGATTCCCACTCTCAGAAATGCTGACATGTATCTGAAATTAGAATTTGGTTTGATGTGTCTAAAGTCAATTATATGACCCTTGATAGTAAAATTAGTTTATTTGACAGTCTCTAACTGAACAAACTATTTTTATCAGAAATATTCACACCTCCTACATTTTCTTGCTTTGTGCCCTTTCACTCAGTTTCCATCTATATCCAAAGATCTACCCCAAATTTCAGCCAACTGAAATGTTTATTGATAAGCCAAGAATTTTCATTTATATACTATATATTGGGGTTTTCACCCTAACCCTAACTCTAAAATGTAGTCCCTTGCCCAATTTTAATTTTAAAACCTCATCTCCCATAGCTTTTAAATTAGCTTTCCAGTCATGCAATACCACATTATCATCTGTTTTTATTTCTGAATCAGCTATGATACATCCAAAGTTCAGTCAATTTCTCTCTCAAAGACATAAAATAACACCCACCCATGCTATTTCTTCTTCCTCTGGTCCGTTCCAGCAGGGGGCGGCCAGCTACAACCTGATTGGTCACCAGTTTGACAGCTCAAACTATCAAAAGATTGGTGTCCAAGATGACAAAGAAAAGATTGAGACCCTGCTCCCTCAAACTTAAGGATTGCAAAGGGAATACCATTCCCATTTTGGGAAGCAGTAAGGTAGCAGTAGAATTCAAACAATTTAAAAGTCGCCTCCAACTAATAGTAGTTGAGAGGGCATTGCCCAGCCTTCTGGACCTAGATTGGTTCGACTCCCTTGGTCTTGCCATAAGTGGAGTTCATGCCACTGATGCCAAGGGACAGACACCATAGACACTCTAGCAAAGGAATTTGCTAGTGTCTTCAACGGTGAATTGGGCAGTACATTGGAAAACCAAATTCATTAAATTTAGACCCAAAAGTCACTCCAAGATGACTAAAAGCATGGTGAATGTCCTTCGCACTCTGCCCAAAAATTGATTCTGAGCTTGATAAGCTTATCACTCAAGGGGTATTAGAACCGGTGGATCATGCCCCATGGGAGACCCCCATAGTGACACCAATCAAGGTTGATGAGTCAGTTAGGGTGTGTGCAGATTACAAGGCCACGGTGAATTTAGCACTCTAATAAAGTGCATATCCAGTCCCTGTGGTGCAATATCTGTTGCACTCACTGGGTAATGGCAAGATCTTTGCTAAGCTTGACATGGCTCAAGCTTACCAACAGCTCCCAATGGACTCAGCCACCACAGAGGCTCAGAAAATAGTTATGCACAGAGGTGCATTAAAATGTAATAGGTTACGGAACAACTCTTACAGGGTATCCCTGGAATCATTCCATACTTTGATGATGTAATAGTGTCAGCTAGCAATGAGACCACACTTTTAAACAGCCTAAGAGAAGCGTTTAAAACATTTCAGGTCACAGGCCTCAAGCTTGAGAAAAGCAAGTGCCATTTAGGGATCTCTAAAGTAGAGTTCCTGGGATTCCTGATTGATGCTGCTGGATTACATCCTACAACAGCTAAGGTTCAGGCAATCAAGAATGCACCCACACCAGCCAACAAAACTGAATTGCAAGCTTTCCTGGGCCTACTGAACTTTTACGCTATGTTCATCCCACACAAAGCCTCAGTAGCAGAGCCTCTGTACAGACTCTTAGATAAGAAATCTCCCTGGGTATGGGGGTAAAAAGAGGCAAACATATTCAGAGCAGTTAAGGACTTGCTTACTTCAGACTGTGTGCTTATCCATTTCAATGAATGTTTGCCCCTGGTTCTGGCTTGTGATGCTTCTCCCTATGGAGTAGGGGCGGTTTTGAGCCACAAAATGCGTAATGGTTCTGAGGCCCCTATAGCTTTTTTCTCAAGGACTCTTACACTTGCAAAATGTAATTATAGTCAAATTGACAAGGAGCCCTTGCAGCCATCATGGGCATCAAACGTTTTCACAAATACCTATATGGACATAAGTTTGAACCAGAGGTGGGATTCAATTTTTTTTTACTACCAGTTCTGTGGGTGTAGCTTGGTGGGCATGGCAGGGGAAGGTTACTGCAAAATCCCATTCCCTCCCCACCCCACTAACCTGTTTTCCAGCTGCATTCTCCTGTGCAGGGCAACAAAAGAAGACCCAGCCGATCAGCTGGGACTCGTGGGGCAGAGAATAGATTGGGGCAGGGCCAGTCAGAGGCAACATTTGCGGTTCTCTGGACTACTCAAAATTTCTGCTACCGGTTCTCCAGAACTGGTCAGAACTGGCTGAATACCTCCTCTAGTTTGAACTGATAACACGCCACAAACCCTTGTTGGGTATTTTTGCTGGGGACAAAGAAACTACTCAGATTCTCTCCCACACATGACAAGATGGGCAGTATTCTTGGCTGCATACTCTTACAATTTATCCTATTGCCTGGGCAAGCACCTCAGTCACGCTGATGCCCTGAGCAGATGCCCTCTACCAGCTGCTGCAGAGGAACCTGAAGCTGATGAGTCTATCCTCCTGATAGACCATCACCACCAGTTCCCAATGACTGCTGCAGACATTGCTGCACATTCAGCGAAAGATAAACAATAATACAAGTGCTGGGCTGGGGGAAAAGGGGGTGGCCACAAGGATCTGTAAACATTGATTTATGTCCATTCAAGGTATGGCAGCAAGAATTGTAAGCCAGCAGTGGGTGTTTGTTATAGGGAAGCAGGGTGGTGGTTCCCTCCACATTACACAAGCCAATCCTGGAAGCACTTCACAAAGGTCACCCAGGTATAGTGCGTATGAAGGCATTGGGCTGCAGTTACGTGTGGTGGTCTGGGATAGAACAGGCCATCACAGAATGGGTGTCAGGGTGCTAGCAATGTCAACAATCAAGACTCTTACCTCCCAGGGCACCAGTCAGGGAATGGAAAACTTCTAGAGGCCCCTGGTCCTGACTGCATATTGATTTTGCTGGGCCCTTTCAGGGTCAAACCTTTTTAATTGTGATTGATGCCTTCTCCAAATAGGTGGAAATAGTTCTGATGACCTGCACCATGGCTGAGGCTGTAAGCATAGCATAACAAAAGGTACTTGCCAGCCACGGGCTTCCTGACCTGGTAGTTTCAGATAATGGTCCACAATTTACATCCAGAAGTTTTGAATTATTCCTTATAAGGCTGGAAATAAGGCTGGGCCTTAGTTGCCCCTTCCAATCCTTCTAGTAATGGTTTGGCAGAATGAGGAGGAAAGTCAACAAAGGAGGCCCTGGCAAAGATGGGCCCAATACCTATTTATCCTAAATACAACTCCATGCCCTTCCATCAATTTCAGCCCAGCCGAATTATTAATGGGCTGACGGCTAAGAACGGTCCTAGACAGGCTTCACTCCACATATATGCCAGAGAAGCCTCTGGACTTATCCAGCAATACCAGGCGATTTAATGAAGGGGACCTAGTTTATGCTAGGAACTTCACAGGCAACCCACTATGGCTACCAGCCACTGTTACAAGGGTAACAGGGCTTTTTCATATATTGTCGAGCTGGAGGATGGCCGGGCATGGAGACACCATATTAATCAATTAAGGGGTGACAGAATTATAGGCCCGAGGCCTCTTTGCCGAAGGAAAACAACAATCCCTTGCTAGCTAAAGCTGGGCCTACTGCACGAGTAACATGCCACTAAGCAAACCTACCAGAGTCTCCCGCAAAGCCACCAGTCGAGCAGGTCCCAGCAGAGGTCACGGTGCAGACTCCTGAAGTTCCAGCCTCAACAACTTCAGCAGCTTCCAGCCAGCGCTGCGCAGATCAACAAGGATCTGCCGCCGCCCAACCTACCTCGAAGAATACACATGTACTATCGAGGTGGGAAGGAGTGCTATGTCTTCAGTTCTCCCTCTGGTCTGTTCCAGCAGAGGGCGCCCAGCCACAACCTGATTGGTCACCAGTTTGACAGCTCAGTATAAAAGGAGCTGTCAAATGGGCTAACAGCTGTTTCCTCAAGGCTGAGCTGAGCAGTCACATTTAAAGTGCACAAAGCTTTAAATAAAGCCTGAGCAACCTTAACTAGCCGCCTTGCCTCTCTCTGTTTGTGTGTTCATCTGCCAGAATGAAGCAACCCACACAATTTCTATTCGCAATGCCAATGCTCCACAGAATTTGTGGGAGGGATACTTTTTCCATCAGAGGGAATAATCTTATCCTGTTTACCAGTCTTGGAGTTTAAGCCAGCCTTCCTTCCTACCACATAGGTACATCCCTTCCTACCACAGAGGTACATTTGTTGTATTGAGTTGGCATAAACAGCAACTCTTCTTTTGTTTTCAGAAATCATGAGGCAAATGACACAATGCGAAATAAAAATGTGCATGGGATACAGGATATTAACTCAGAGCGTGGGAGGTGGACAGCGAAGAAGCAACCAGCTGTCAATCAGCTGGAGAGTAGGCCGGCAGCAGAAAAATGAACTAAGTGCAACAGAAAGATTTCAGGCCTCTCAGGCCTCTCTAGAAATACAATGGCCATGTTGGTGTGTCAGGCACACACAGGGGGCAGGGTTAAATAGGCAGGAAAGCATTAACAGTTATTGCTGCCTATGTTTTGGCTGCCATGTGCCTATGTTTCAAGGCCTGCCAGAATTAAAAGCAATTAATCGAACCTTATATTTCTGTTCCTTGGTTTTGGAGAATTGTAACAGTGACGCTGAGAATATATCTGCACAGCGCATAACCTCTGAGTTTTGGGCATATGGGCAATTGTTGCTATCTTGTAAAGTAGTCTCCAGATTAGAGGTCTTCCTTGTATAAATTAGGCAAGCATGTTGAGGGGGGGAAAAACTGGACTGTGTTGTGCTTATAACATCCTGATCAAAATATGCCAAAGATAACTGGTAGCATCCCAAACATTGGGATGGACGCAGGAAGGTTATGCTTGGAGGTGAGGCATGGAAGAGAGCGGAGGTGGAAGAAATAATTATTAGATGTGTCCCCCAACTGATATCACTCTGATTCATACTGGGATTCTCTATAGTTGCTTTTAGAATACAATTATTATATCACAAAATACAAATGGGTTTTTTTTAGCCCTAAGGGAAGGATAGTGATAGCTCAAGATCTTTATATAGCTGCAGAGAATACAATATATGTAGTACTCTAGTTAGAATATGATAGAAAGGATGTGTAGAAAAACACATCAGAAATAAGGCTGCCAACATTTTAATGGTGATCTTATATTGCTTCCATATGTTAGCACTCTAAAATACTACTGTTCTTTCCATATATTAGCTAATGAAATTAGAGTGGGAAGATTTATGTTTATATTGACTGTTTACTTATATTTTCTAATCATATGAATGAAATGAATGTTTTCTTGAGATATTACAGAATAAAATTTCACTGGTGAACAGAAGACATGTGGTGTTCTAGTCAGATAAGCACATACTGTTCTTACCTCTTCAGGTTCAGTAGATTCTTTTCTTTTAGGAGGTTGACCAGCACCAGGTAAAAGCGCTCCCATTGGGATGTTGATATTGGCCTGGAAATTAAGTGCATGAAGTTATATTGTAGCAGATCTACAAAAATTAAGAGATGGAGTTTTCTTTATTGCCAGGCAAATTATATTTTGTTTCTTATCTCTTTTATTAAATGTCTTCTTTTATTATTTTAAATTTAGGCAGATTTAAAACAAGATTAATTCAGACAGCAAAATCTCAAGTTAAGCTTCCATATCAGTGGCAGCATCCCGAGCCTTGTTTAAATGGAACACCAGATTAGTGCTTAATATAATCTGGTGCTCTCATATTAATGTTTAAGAGAAATAGAGATTTGTATTTAAACCCTATCTTCTCCACACTTTCCCTATAAAGGACAACTTTTTTAAAATTTGTGGTGTCGCAGTGGTTAGAATGTAGTATTGCAGGCTAACTCTGCCCACAGCCAGGAGTTCGATCCTGATCCTGACTGGCTCAAGTTTGACTGAGCCTTCCATCCTTCCAAGGTTGGTAAAATGAGGACCAAGCTTGTTGGGAGCAATATGCTGACTCTGTAAACCACTTAGAAAGTGCACTAAAGCACTATGGATTGGTATGTAAGTCTAAGTGCTATTATTGTTCTTCAAGAGCAAATAAAATTTACTTTCTACTTGTGGAGGACGAGATAAGATGTATGGGGTTAATATGGCTTCTTAAACTCCTACCAAGAATTTTAGTTTCAGTCAAAACTGAATAAATACAATATTGAGGCTGCAGAAATCCAGACAACCACTAATAGTAATTCAGACTTTTGCATCCCAGATATGGTATCCATAAGATTTATCCATATTCATATAAAGTAAGGTTTGCATGCTGATGGTTTGTATGCTGAACCACACAAAGTAAGGTTCAGCAGCCGATTAACAGCCTTCACAATCCTAAAATATTCTTACAGGAGCACCTAGAATTTATTGACTTGCCTTGAACCTTTAAGCACTGCATTTACGTTACAATGAATTTGTATTTCACACCTATCAAAGCATTTCTAATATTACTTGCTGTGGTTCAGAGAATATACTCATGGTTAATCATGAGGTTTAAATAGAGGGCTCTTCCTTATGCTCATTTTAAATAGTAATCACCCATATCCAAGCTAACAGATAAATATGCTGGTGTAAAATTTGTCTTCCAATCGCTGATAACTATCTACTACCATATTACCAGTTTGACCACAATACTGTAAAATGAAGCTATCTTTAGGAAGTGTGTGCAAGGCATCCTGAGGAAAGAAATTGTTAGCTCTTTTTCTTAGCTGTCAACTGTCCCATTGGCACATGCAGCAAAAGAAACTACTGGGACATTATTTTACCAAGAGTATGACTTTACTTATAGATCAATACAGGCACAGAAGAAGTGAAGCTAGCTGTGAAGTTTTCACATGAAAAACAGCATAGTTAATTTCCCCTTTTCCCCATTCAGGCCACCCATTGTCCATTGTCCATTGTCCATCAATCCAACACCTTGTATTTTGGGAAAACAGTCTGCACCTTCGGAAGGTTCCCATTGTATAGCCTTGAAGTGTCAGGATTTTCCCAGGCTGCAAACTGTTCACGTAAATCCCTCACCTCCCTCCCAGCTCCTAATACATTCCAAGATTCCCCTGCCCCTTCCATTTCTGTCATCAAGTTGCAAGTAGAAGTGTATTACTAGTCAGCTTTGACATGCCAACCCTCCAGAAAAAAGATAAGTCTGAAAAAAACAGAACAAATGTACAAAATAGCACACAACACAGGGTTCTCTACTCTACCATCCATTCTGGGTTGGTCTGGATATTTGGCATGGAATTTGCTAATGAGTCTAGATGCCCTAACATCCTTCACTCCATCTACTCATTATCTGCTAAAGGATATACTTTCCACAACACTAAATATTACAACTTCCCCTTGCATTTTCTGGAGTCAAGAATCTCCTTGATTTCAAAGTGCTATTCTCCTCTCACCAAGATTGGGGAAGGAGGTAGTTCAGTAGCAGGTCTTAATGCTGAACCATGGAAAGCAGGGGTGGGATTCAAATTTCTTAACAACTGGTTCTGTGGGCATGGCCCAATTTGTGGGCGAGGCTTAGTCATGTGACTGGATGGGCATGGCTTGCTGACTGGGCGTAGCTTGGTGGTCATGTGACTGGGGTAGGTGTGGCTAGGTGGCCATGTGACTGGGGTGGGCGTGGCCAGGTGGCCAATGTGACTGGCAAACCAAATTTAAGTGGTCCTCGCTTAATGACCAGGTCCTCATTTAATGGCCAGTTGCTTAGCAAGTGTTTTTTGCCAGTTTCCAAGGCCTGGAGAGGGCAGGATGAGGCTCAGGCAGGTGGCCATGTGACTGGCAAACCAAATGTAAGTGGTCTTCACTTAATGGCCAGTTGCTTAGCAAGTGTTCTAATTTACGACTGACCTCCCCAGAGCTACTTGATCTGTTTTTGGAGTTTTGACAGCCATGCACAAACACTGACACTCTCTCTCTCTCTCTCTCTCTCTCTCTCTCTCTCACCAGTTACAACATCCCACACAGTCATGTAACTGAGGTTTTCTATGTTTTTTTGCCAGTTTCCCACAATTCCTTCTGATTTCCAGTTAAAAATGGGGAAAAGAGACTTGTTTAACAACCAGTTTTCACTTAATGACCACAATGTTCACTTAATGACAATGTTGTTTGTCTAACCTTAAACACTCAAAGAGCCATTTTTCTATTTTCTTTTTAAAAGATCTCTCTCTCGCTCTCTCTCTTTCTTTCTCCCCCTATCTTTCTCTCTCATCTCTTTTTCTTTCTCCCTCTCTTTCTTATCTCTCTCTCATTTTTCTCTCTGTCATCACTCTCTTTTTCTTTCTTTCTCATCTCTTTCTCATCTCTCCCTCTCCCTCTCTCTGTCCCTGGGAGGGAAAGGAACATTTGAACTGGTGCTGGGTAGTGGGAATCTGAGGAGCCGGTACTGAAGATGGCTGGCAGGGAGGTGGGGCAATCCCACAGTCTCCCCAAAAATAACGCTTCTGGTGAGGAGGAAGAAAAGCGCATTGGGAGGAGACTTGGTGGGTGACATGGGGCAGTGAGCGCTTCATGGCTCCTGAGGGGGTCGAGCCTTCCTGCTCCCAATTGCTGGCAGCTGCTTCTCTGCAGCCACGCTAACAGCATTCAACCTGGCTGCTTCCCTCCTCCTTCTCAGCCCCATACATACAGAGCAAACACTCACACATCTCACGGTGCTGGAGGGACTCGCCCACGCACCGATTCCTTGCAGAAGATCCTACTGGCACTATGTGTGCATGATCTACCAGAAAAGGAGGATAAGAATTGCCAAACTTTTCTTCCCCCCTTCCCTTTGCAGAGGAGCTGCTCGGAAGGCAGCTCCTGTCCGTTTATGGTCCTCCCTCACCCACCCATGTCAAAGTACCTTAAAGGGGCAGGCTGCAGCAGCTGCCTTCACACTGGAAGGGAGGAAGAAAAGTTCAGCAACTCTTCTCCTCATGCATACACATACACACACAGAGCATGCACACATGGTGCTGGAGGGATTTGCCCATGCGCCAATTCCTTGCAGAAGATCCTTTGTGTGTGCATGATGCCAGAAGGACTCGCCCATGCACAGAAGGTCCCAACCTCACATGTCCATACTCTGTGTGAATGCCCAAGAAGGAGGAAGACTTGCCAAGTTTTTCTTCCTCCCTCTCTTCTGACACACAATGGCCAGGCAGGTGAGCAGTGTCACGTGGAGTAAGTGTCCTCCCAGCCAGTGCAGCCATGGGGCTCCAACCTCATACAAATGTAAGTTTGCAGATACCCCAGGATTCCCAGCTTTGGCTGCAAGAACTGCAGACAGCCTTCCATACCACACACATCCTCCCGCCGCCCCATGTGAGGCACGAGGCCTGACAGAAAGCGCCTGGCTCAAAGACAAAGCCCTCCACGATGGAGCCCTTCCCGGGGAACAAAACAAGAACTTACTGATCAATCCCAAAGGGGAGCTTCAGTGGTGGTGGTGGTGCTCTGGGAGGATGACCCTCAGGGCCCTGGGAAACCGTCTTGTGCAGCACAGCAAAATTTGCTTTAGCAACCGAGAGTTGCTGCTTTGGGTTTCTGCGTCCCACTCCCTTGGGGAGCGCAAGTCCCCAAAACTAAATTTTGCTGTGCCAGGAAAGAAACGTTTGCTCTCCCAGCTAGACCAGCAGGGAGAGAAGCAGCTATTGACCCCGCCAGAGCCAACATGAGCACCTCTCCACATGTTCTGCTGTTTTGCTGGGAGAGCAACAAAGTCTTTCTTGCACAGTGATAAGCTAAATTTTGCTTTGCCAAGACAGTCTCTCTCACTCTCCCAACTAGACCAGCAGAGGAGATAAGCAGCTACTGACCCCGCCGGAGCTGACTCGGAGCTGCTCCATGTGTTCTCCTGCAAAGGCAGGTGGTGGTGGGGGTGCGGAAGGTGACTGGCAGCAGGAGTAAAAGGCAAGTGGGAAGAAAGGTGACTAGGGGCGACAGGTAGGAGACCTGGGCTTGCTTGCATAGCCTCACTCACCTAGGAAGACCATGGTGGAAGGCAGACTGCAGGCAGCGATGGCACATGGCCAGGATAAAGAAGGGCGGGGTTAGAATGCAGTCAGCTTGTTGCGCATGCATGCGATGTTGTGCATGCGCGATAAGGACTGATTGGGCAGTGAACGGAGAAGCGGGCAGAGAGGGGCGGGGCCAGCCAGGGGCCCATTTTACCAGTTCTCCAAACTACCAGGAACTGTAACATCCGGTTCTATCGAACCAGATCAAACCAGTTGAATCCCACCTCTGATGGAAAGGCTTCAAGAGGCTGCAGTGAAACACTGGGTGAATGTGCTTGTTCCGGACTAGCAGGCTCGTAGCCTGCAAATCTGATTGGCCCGCTGAAAGCCGATCATGATTGGTCGCCATAGACTGATGCGATTGGCCAGTAAATGGGCTGCCGCGATTGGCCCTGCCAAGAGCGGCAAACTCAAATTGCCTTCATTGGCTGCCTAGCCGCAGCCAGCCCTATATAAGGGGCTGCT